ACCTTTCTACTTAGGCAATCTATGCCTCATTTTTTTCCCAGATGAATTTGCTGTTCTCCTTTTTCCCCCTTATTCCAGCACCAGCCACCAGCTTCCATCTCCTAGTCATGAGCAAATACATGGGTATCATTGCCCAAGACCTCAGTGAGAGGCAGGCATTCAGCAGGCTGGTGAGTTCTCCCTGGAAACATTTTCTGGCATGAATTCTTCCTTTGTTCTTTGATTCAAAATCCTGTCACACAGGTTATTAATTTATCTCTGGATCAGGAAGATAAAGCAGGTCCTCTCTAAGGGTACACTAGTGCTGCTTCATAGATTGATTATGCTGGTCACCAAGGGACCAGCAGCTATCTTCTCCCATGGAGAGGAATGGCTTATCTCAATTGGAGCCTCTGTAGAGGGCTCTGGGCATGTGCATGCCAGACAAAAAGCAAACTAGCTTTCCAAGAATAAATAAACCAGGAAGGAAAATCATTTGGACAGGATTACTTTCTTTTCTACCTCCTTTTCCTTCCTCCATCCCACCATTCAGGAGACTTCATGCCTGTCTATGTTCCCCTTAGCAAAAACAGGGAAACTGGAATGTAAGGCCAAAATCCCATTTCATTCAATGGGAAGACTGAACCCCAAGTAAAAATGATGATGGTTTGAGGGGAGACTTTTACCTAAGGCAGGGCTGTCCGACAGGTGGCCTTATGGCCCACAACCAGTTAACATGTGTCCCTTGGACCCAGTGGCTACCTATCCCACTGCCACATGATGAGGGACAGGGGGTCTGCGTACTGCCAGCAGGGGCTAGGCTGGCCATTGCTGCCATCACAGCCCATCCAGTGGAGATAGAGGGGGCTGAGTGCAGCTGGCTCAGCCCATGCAGTGGAGAAGATTCCAAGGGGTTGCCCCCTAAGCATGTACCCATGGCAAAATTGGACAGCCCTGACTAAAGGGGTTAAATGGGTCAAATGACATAAAAAATCCACCGATTTTCTGAATAGGTCCAAAGGGATAACCCCAATGGCAAAGTCCTATAAAAATGGATAGGGATGAGGCCAGCAGATCATTACAGGCATATGAGAAGGTTCTTCAGAAACTACTCTACCGTTCTAGAGAATTGCATGGAGAATGCAACCACTTGTAGTTCTGTATGTAAAATCCCCAGCATTTCAGAATACTAATGCTTTTCTACACTGCTCACATTCTTGTAAAAATAGGAAGTGGAAAGTATTGGAAAAAAATATTTGTTTGCACTGCATCTTTTTTAAAATAACTTTTTACAATTCAACCAAGCATTTATGGAAACTCAAATAACAATAAACTGAGTCTATTGCACCTGCCAGAAAAAAAAGCTTAGAATTTCATTAAAAACATTAATCCTCAAATAGACTAAACAATTCATTCTCCTAATTTGTGACCAGGTGGTCATATTTCCTCCCACTACACTTTGATGTAAGGTAGGCTCCTACATATGGGCTATTTAATTGTATCATCCAATGGTACTGAAATCTATTGTGAGCACCTCCTGTTCAACAGATCATTTGGGACAAATTGTCTCATCCTAGAGTCATAGATCTCAGTGGTAGGAGACCTGGGTTCTATGCCTGGCTGTGCTCCAGACAGCTGATGTAGCTGTAGCCAGGTCATTAAAATTTCCTTTATGCACAAATTGTATAACGATAATTAATTTCACAACAGCAAAGGGCTCAAATCAGTATTGTTCAGAAACACTTTGAGATCATTAGATGGGAGGAGATGTAGAAGTGCTTGTTTTTATTGCAGAAGTGGGCATAATATGCTGGGTAGACAAAGCCAAGTTGTAATGGGGTCTTGGACGTTCCTGCATAGCTTATAAAGACACAGACAATGTCCAGGGGATCAGATGTCAATAAAGAGTAGGTACAGCAACCCTATACTGTGCATCACAATTACCCTAAGAGAGCATCGCTGCCATCCAGAGACAATTAAACAAACCATCTCCTGGAAATTCAGTCAGGTTCCAGGTTCAACTGTCTGACTCAGCCTCTACCTGACAATTTCTTTGCTTCCTATGAATAGTGTCCAAATAGGGTGCTAGAAGATATGACTTCTCACATATCCATGGGCAGAAAAAGGATAAATCTTGCCTATCCAGATGGATACAAATAAGAATTAACACACATTAATGTTTAAGGCATTTTTAAAAATGAAGTCCCCATGTGGTCTGGGATCTGCCTTCAGAAAGCTGATCTTGTACGGCGAGCTTTAAACTAGCCTCGCCGGGGGA